CTTGTCAAAAACACAATAACCACCTTTCACCTATTGTGTAAGTACAACAAGCAGGTCACACAGTATGATCACAAATATATAAAAACTCTGTTAAAAATAAGTTTTTATTAAAAAGTACAGGCTGCATAGGTTCTCAGCCTTGGAGAAACTTGACATGTTTTGGTACTGTGTCTGAATCTCTCTTTAGTGGTTCATTAATAAAACTGATATTTCAACGTGTGCCTACTTACTTGTACTGTCGAGGTTAATTTCAGTAGTTGTGTGCTATAATGTATTTACAAAGTGTGAAGAGGAGTCAACTTTAGAATAGGGAACCTGTTCAGGTCAATTAGAGTCAAACTACTAGCTTATTGGTTATGAACAAGACTTCACTTTAAAATAGGGAACATGTTCTTAGATATAAATACCTAATTAGAGTCAAACTACTAGCGTATTGGTTATGAACAAGACTTCACTTTAGAATAGGGAACATGTTCTTAGATAGAAATACCTAATTTTGAGTTATTTAGACACAATTAACACTTATAGTTTCATGTCTTGTTACATAAGAATAGATCATATTTTTTAAGCGCTATTATGGGAGAATTACTATTCTTGTGGTACTACTGCCTTATTACGCCCATATTGAGCAGAGCATATTAAGACCAAAACTCATGTACAACAACTTCCTTATTTAAATAAGCACGAATTAGAGGGTTATTGAGGAAAAACTCTCAACTAATGGCCTATTACTTATATAATACGGTCATGTAGAATAAGGCATTAATAAGTGTTTTATAATGACTAATAAAGAGCCAATATACTGCTAATATGCATGTTAATGAACAACTAGTTGATGGTGAATTTGTGTACCTTAATATAAAGTGTTACCATAAACATATACATATATGCACACAAATGTATCATACACACATAAACGTACACATTCATATACAGTACATATAGGCCATTGGTATGGAGTCAGATTTGGGTCTATATTGTAGCGCGCAAAATAATTGGCCTTAAAATAACACATTTTGGACCCACACTACCTGTGCCTCTCTGAAGATGTAAGGACCCAGCTGCTGGCGCTTCTCCAGAATGTGCTGGGCCTGCTCAGGAGGGATGTCTATCTGCAGGGCGGGGGGCATGGATGAGTTGATGAAACAGTTTATGATGGTGGAGATCTTTTGCTGGATGGTGGCCTCGTCACTGTGGGAGTGACAGAGGTCCTGAATACGGGGAGGGAAGGGACTGATGAGGAAGGACATGTGTGCTGGGAATCCTGGAATGAAGTTGACCTTTTTGCTTTGTCGTAAGACAGGGTTAAAGACCTTTTCAGCAGCTCAATGTACGACTACAAACACATTTTATTTGCCCAAGTAAGATCAGTTTTTATCATTTTCCATTAGAAATGTCTGAATGTGTGTCTGCTCTGCTCTTCTCACAGGATTTAGCAACATTTGTATAAAAATCTAATGACTGTCTTTTGCTTATGTTTAGGGCAATATCAATACAATCTGATCAAATCACATTCATGTAGTCCTTATGAAACAGACGAGCTGAGTTTATGAGAGTGAAGGGCAGGGCCTTGATATTAACACTCAGTGAGCAGCAGGTTGTGACAGATTTACATTTCTGGCCCAAGCATGTCTTAAGATACAAAAATGCAATTGAAAATAACATGTATGATGTGTTTTTTCCACCAAAAAATGTGTATATTGTCGACAATCCTTTTCCATCACTGAATTCATCCAGGACTCATGAACATGTTTACCTGGAGGTTTCAACTCTCTCACTCTCTTATTTGACCTCACTAGTTGTGAGGTCAAATCCTGCTCAAGTCTTAACGTAAGATTCACTCAGACAAACGTTCCCCTTTGAGCAGATAAATATGAAAACATCTTTCTGCACAGACTTGGGATCCCTAAGTTTCTGTTTTGATTTCCTTATAGTTGATAGATAATATGGAGGCACGCAGGAAAGGATAGCAGGTGGAATGACGCAAAGATCTCAAACAGGGCGAACACCACTCAAACCAGAAAGACTTCTTTTACCTTGTATCTCTGCACCTCTAGCCAAAAGAGCACATCGTTTTCTAGGAAGTCTCCCTTCAGAGATACAAAGTGCTGGAACCGCATACAGGTGTCGGGGTGGAGGAGGATCTGTCCGGAAGGGCAGGATCTCCTTGGAGGAACTCATCCACAAGCCCCCCGCCTGCAGACATCCAGCAGAGAAGAGAGGTTTGTAACGAGACTGGAAACTGCTAGTTCATTTCCTCAGGGAAATATGAAATGGATATAATGACCTACTCATGTGTAAACGTTATAGCAAACCCTTACAAATGTGCATGGTGTAGATGATACAGTGTACTCCAGAACAAAAGCAGAAAGATTGTATGTGGCCTATGAGCTCAAAGAAAGCTGAGATAATGATACTCTCCTTTTTCAAAAAAGCTGCTCTTTCCCAATTATGAGGAAATTAACATAAGTAAACTACTTCCTGTAATCATCTAGCTTGAAATGCTCATGTTTTATATCTGTGTTCTGCTGTAGAGCTGAGATGAGAGGATAGGAACATAGCTACAGAGTAAACCCTCCCAACACTATTAAAGAAAGGTAAGTTCTACATCCAGGACATGGTTAAACCGTACACCCCAGCACGTGCACTCCGCTCTGCATCAGCCAAACAGCTCGCTGCACCCGCACTGCGAGGGGGACCCAAGTTCCCATCAGCAAAAACACGTGGGTTTGCTATCCTGGCTCCAAAATGGTGGAATGAGCCCCCCATTGAAATCAGGACAGGAGATAGCTTGCACATCTTCCGGCGCAGACTGAAAACTCATCTCTTTCGACTCCACTTTAGAACTATTAACAAAGCACTTATATACTAATAAAGGACTGGCTTATCAAGTGGCACTTGAAATGTTTTAGCTCTATGAATCCTGATGTACTTAAATGATTCTGTTTTCTTCTAGTTTGTATCTTGTTGGTCGAACGCACTTATTGTAAGTCGCTTTGGATAAAAGCGTCAGCTAAATGCAAATATGGAAATTGTGCAATTGGCAGATAAGCAGCAATGAAACTTGAGAATAGCAAATCATTTATCAGTATTGCTAATGCTTTCATCTTATTTATCCTGGATCCAATTTAGGAAAACTAACCACAAGGCTTAAATGTTGTTTGACAAAGCCAGTGTTGAAGCCACGAGATGAAGTAAATCACACATGCTTTCAGGCCAGGACGTGCCTTATTCGACTCCCTTCTGAACACCCAGCTCCCCACTGGATTCTCCTTACCTCCCAGGCTCCTTTCCTCCTCCTGGCCTCACGGTAGACGGCCTGCGAGGGCCTGCCCACTGTTTGGGGCTACCACACAGAAACACACAGGTTCAAAGTAAAACAACTAGCATTAACAGAGACAATGAACACCTCACCCACGTCTCTCTGCTGCTATGTGTCCCTGACAGTAACGAAAGCCCTCTCCACCTGCACCCTCAGTCTGATCTTATTCCGCATCTCCGCTTTAGAGAACTTTACCTCTCTGATGTCATCGTCTCCTTAATGATCCTCTTGACCATCTTTACACCCGTCCACTCTCTCCTCCTGAGTGTAACATTAAACTACGTCTACCTCTCATTACCTAATGAGAGACCAAACATGGAAAACATGATAACATATGAAGCAGGGTGGAGTGTGCGTTTTCTGTGTACCTGATGATGCAACCTGAGAGTGGTGGACAGTGTTTAGTGGTTTCTCACATTGCACAGCTGCTAATGTCTCCCTATCTCTCTGTCCACAACCATGGCAGTTATCACAATGACAAATACAATCAATGCAAGTCTTTTCATTTAGTAGAGGTCAGGGTGTTCTTCATAAAATGATAATGTCTGCATCAAAAATCTGCCACAATGTTCAAATAAATATTTTAACTGAGTCCTGATCATCACCTTTTAGTTTAACAGTCTGTACACATGTATACATGTTTAATGTTGTGTGTGTGTAGTTCACGATGTTGTGAGATATCAGAACAATCTCTGGCAGTTTTCGTCACTGTACGAAAATTGTGAGCGAACCTAAAAATAATTCCTCAAAAATGTGAAAACATTTAGAAACATGTAACAATAGTGACCTTTTTTCATTCAAACAGATCGCTTTAGTCAATACTATACTCTGTCTGTCAGTATTCTTCTGAGTATTCTTCTGACGACAGTGTTCTCGGGCAGCAGAAAAAGGTTATTTTCCAAAATGTCTGGGCATTTGTTCTTGGGTTTTAAGAGAATTGTGCTCTGTATGTTAAAAATCTGGATGTTCACCTTTGGTTGGTTTGTCAGTCGCTCTGTGAACTCTGCTGTGGACAGAAACAGAGGCAGCCAGGTTTTTTCAATGTGACTCTTGATGATGGCTTGGATCTCCACAACCACAGGATCTGAGAGACATTCCAGCTTCAGACGCTCCAGTCCACCTGCCTGACGCAGTAACTACACACACACAAACACACACAGAAAAAGCTTAAGCAACACACATTAGAGGAAAAGTGTGTCTGATATGAATGCTAAAGATGTCTGACAACATGAAAAACATATGAGTACAAATGCAACAAAAAAAGAAACCTGACTCAGAATCCCCTCCTTCCTGACTCCTGCTGTGCTCTTCATCATTCCCACAATCCCTCTGTTCTCTTCATCTCCTCTGTCTGCTCTCTGTCCTCATATCAGTCTGGGCATGTCTTCTTTTTAATATCTCTTTTATATATTCTCTTATGTCATTATGCAAGCACACAGGCTCACACTCACACAAAGACTGACTGACTGACTGACTGACCGACTGACTGACTGACTGACTGACTGAAGGGCCAAAGCAGTAAAGCTGTCAGTCTCTCTACCTCACTCACGCAGACAAGACCCAACGCTGAGACGCATGAGTAGCCAGAGCCAGAGTGAGAAGCACTAGCATGGTCTACTATAATCATTATTTCCAATTACCATAGAGATAAAGGTTTAATTCAAGATTCATAGATTTATCGTCATGGCACAACTACGGTGTAGTTATGCATGAATTAAAAACTAAGGTCACTTCAACAATGCAATTACAAGACATACATTTTAATAAAAATGTAAAATAGTGCAAGTCTTATGGCCCGTGGGATGAAACCTGAGTCTGATGGTCTTTGCTGCGGTACCGCCTGCCAGAAGGCAGCAGAGAGACAAGTTTGTTGCTGGGGTGATGGGGGTCTTTGATAATCCAAGGAACCTTAAACTCTATTTGTTCTAAACTACTGTAACGGCCCGTTCACACAGCAGCTTTAAAAAAATCTTGAAACTCTTGGAGCTGGGCGTGTCTGAAAGCTTGGGGATTTTTTGCGAGCAACTCGACCAACAACCAATCACATGAATCTCCCGCCCCC